CAAACTCAAAGTCTGCAAACGTCGCAGGAAGAGCAGAAACTCCCAAGACGCAGTTCACTCCATTCCCAAACCCTCTTCACTCGTTCCTGTTTGAAAGAGAAACAACAACACAAACATGCACGCACACCCCAACACACAAACCCTCACACGCGCGCACATAATTCAAGCGCACCCACACTCGCATGCACACATTCAGAGGAATCGATGAGTGCTCTCTGCGTTTGCGAAGACTGATCATAGCATTTCAGTGTTCCGCTGTGCAATTAGAGGGCATAGCATCTCGGTGGAGCACTATTATTGGCTCAGATTAGATCACTGTCATTAAACATAGGAAACTCTTATGCAAAACGTTGTCAGGACACCCTATTAAACGTTGTCTGAACAACGTAGAATGTGGAGTCATATAAAAAGGCATGATGTTGCAAAAATCTGAGAAAGCTGGCAATTGCATAATATAATATCCTTTTAATATTATTACATTAAAATGTCCGAAAATGGGTTTACAATGGCAACATAAAAGAGGAAGGTGCGGTGTTTGCCGAAGAGTGCTCTAGCTTGCGGACAATGTGGCCCAGTTTGTTCCCCCCCCCCCCAGCTAGTGTGGATCTGAGTGTGGACCCGTTGTTCTAACTTAGGTCAGCAAAGAATGTAAAAGAATGCACAAAAGGAGAAAGACACCTGAAATCATGACCCCGCGAGCTAACCCCACAATAATGCCAAAGAACTGACACATTAGCCAACAGCAGACATGTCAGACTGAGGGTCCATATAGGTCACATTTGTGTTGTTATGAGGGCCACATACGACAACTAATTGAAGTCATGGCGCTTTATTTTAAATGCACCCCAAACAAAGTCCAATCGTCTAGAGGTGTTATGGTGTGGGGTTAAGGTTAGGACCTTTCTCCAGTCTCGACCGCCTTAGAGAGAGGGAGCGACTAACTCTATCCATAACCTGTAACCCTAATACTAACCCCAACCCATAACACCCTTAGAATAATGGACTTTCCTGGGAACTTTGGGGTTTCCCTTTTATGCGGTGAATTAAAAACAAAGTATGAAAGTCGTTTAATAAACAGTATTGCAGAATATTTCCTTTGTGCGGACGTAGGTGTGCTTGTAAAGGGACGCATGTGGCCAACGAGCGCCCAGTTTGACGCGCCTGCCAATGGGTATACCACCTGACCATCTGAATCACCTGTTGAGTTAGCTCCCCGCGGAGATACTACATGACTGAGTTTTCGCTTGGAATAGTAATTTTTTTTAATGCTCACACATGTTTATTTTATTACAAAGCAACCCACAATGCAAACACATAAATTTGACACATATTCTGATACAGCTTAGGCCTGCCTCCATTTATTTGATTAAATCCAATATACCTTTATCTTATTCTTCTAGTTTCTCTATCAGAATGACTTTATTTCTTCTTCAGCGATCAAAGTTTGCAATGCGTATATTCCAGTATGGGTCATACACCGGACGGAGCGCTTTAGGTCTTCATAGATTTATAGTTCACATAGTTTACTTGACACAGTTCATCTTATAAGGACGCGTGGATGGGTCAGATTTCTTCTCTCTGACTGGCAAAGTCTGGGCATTCTACTAAGAAATGCTCTAGGGTTTGCTTTTAGCCACAATCACATGAAGCAGAGTTAGAAAGACCCATCCGATTTACGTGTGCTCTGAGTTTTCAGCACCTTGTTCTGTCTCTTTATCTCACTGGTAGGACAAATCGTGGCTGCTATTGGGAAGTGATTTTGTGTCTTCCTGTATGTACATTTGGTTTTAATTTGTCTGACGCTCCGATGAAGGCTCTGTAGCTCTTTCCGTTTGTGTTTGCTGTATAGAGAAGCTCTCTGGTCTACTTTTCATTTGGTTTTTTGAAAATATTTTTAAGAAACTACGAGGTAGGCCAATAATCTTTAAAACGCGAGGCAAAAAAAAAAAAGGTGTCGACAACCTTTCAGGCAGACGCCAATCAACCCAATGATAGTCATGTTGGTGCTGAAGACATTGAACAACGGATCAACATCATGGCACACGGGTAGTAACCCATAAAAGCTCTGTTCTTCTTTTAACTCAAGTCTGAGTCTGAAGAAGCTTAGCACAGTGCACAGGCTCTGTAGCACCGGCGAGGATCTTGAAATACTTTGGGTAGATTTGTAACTCAATATTTTGCCCGAGCAGCGCCGTTAGGCTACTCTTTTCAATTTCCAACCGCCAAGGGATTTTTTCAAATCCGCAACAATGCACACGGGCGTCCGATCTCACTATGCAGAGGTCAGGAGGAATTACTAGAAGTCCGAGTCCACGTGGAAAATCCCAGCCCTTACCTTGGATTGAACCCGGAACCTCTAGGACTCGAGGCGGACACCATGCCTCTAGACCACGCAGCCCCCTGGTGCTGACGACAATGCTGGTAAAGCTACGAGGACGTAGATACTAGACAGCGTTGATCATCATAATGAACAAGAATGGAGGAACAGTTGGTTACTTACCAAGTACCACATGATAGGCCATTTAGGATCATTGAACTGAGAACCTCGCTTGACTCTAGTCTTTGCTATTTGTTGCTCCACCCATAAAACCTGCAGAAACATTACAGAATAAACAGTTAATAATTTTCACTGTTGTGAACTGTAGTATCTTCTCGTTTATTCTTCCTCATTTACTCCTTTGTCGCTTCGAAGAAGATACGAGGTTTTGATTTACACGTCGTTGGCAGCTTCGACTATAGAAAATTAATACTGTTGATTAAATTCTCTGATGTTATCTTTCCATGTTATTTTTAGTCTAACACAGGCTCCCCGTCTGAATGCTCCATTTTAGCATTTCGGCGCATGAAGCACCTACAATGGACAACAGGTTTACCTTCGTAACCTTAGCATGCCCCAGTATAAATGTGTCATACTACTGAACTACTTACTATGTATATTAGAGGGAGCCGTCTTGGTCTAGAGGCTAGACGCTCGCCTGCGGTTCGTAAGGTCGTGGGTTCTGGTCCTGACAGAGACCGGACGTTTTTTCAAGAAGGTACCAGGCACAGTCCTAGGAAGTCTTCTTCTTCTTCGGCGATCTCTGGTCATGCGCATAATCCACTGTGGGTCATAAACTGGGATGTCTTTTCAAGGTCTCTTAGGTTTCCCCAAAGCTTAGTTGTCAGTTCTACTGGGTGTTGCCAGATGTTGCTCCGCAGCTCCGCCAGGAGAGGACAGTCTTGCAGGACATGTTCTGGAGTCTGTTCAGCACGAAGGCACTGGCAGAGAGCTGTTTGGCTCATACCTAATTTATATGAGTGTTTATTGAGTCTGCAGTGTCCAGTACGTAAGGTCCTGGGAAGTAAAGACGGCCGTCGTGTCGCTGACCACATCACCCACTGTTAAAAAAGAGTCCCTAACCTTTATACATAAAGTTAAACAGAATACTGAACGTTGAATTAGGAATCTATACGTCAGCACTCGGGACACTCCCATAAGCTCTCCGTCTCCATTTCAGAAGCAAGCGCAGAGTTCAAGTTCCGATGGTACTAGTAGCAGTCTGAGTGTATGCCCGTCTGGCTTTTCCCCTTGGGCGTCGAGCGTCGGCCAGATCCCCTGGTCAGTCCCCGCAGTACCATTATCCTCAGCTCCCAAAGAACCACTACAACGTCTATTCTGTCATGCATGAATTCATTACCAAGTGATGCATTACCTGCCAGCCTATCTGTCTGTTCGTGTCCCAACAAACCAGAATAACCTAGCGAAAATATCCACAGGATGCTAAATATCAGGGACTTCTGGGGCGATGTTTGCTTCAGTTGTCATGGGCAGGAAACGTTGATGAGGCTTCGTTGCATAAGTATGGTGTGAAAAAAGGATAACGGAAGAGAGCTAGGCGTATGACAACACATCCAGCATGAGAGTGGGAGTTATGGCGTTAACTGCGACGTTGTGTCGGGTGGGGAGAAAAATCTCAGTCACGCATGTTGTCATGGTGACGGATTGGCAAAGCATGCGCAAGAAAGGTGGAGTCAGGTTTTCTTCGTATGGCATGGATTAAACAACCCAGAGATCGCAAATGGTAAGAATTACATGGATATTTTGCTAAGGCTATTCAGGGGTGTTTGGTAATGAGCAGGCAGGCATGCTTGCTGGAATGGCCCCATTTGGGAACGTACTGCAACTGCACAAGGCAGATATGATCTCAGACCTGTGGAACAGGCTAACATGTGAAATTAAAGACACTGAAAATCTGTGCCTGCAGAAAATGATATAGCGAAGAGCGGCTGTGGGCTCTGGGCGCCACTTGAGATTCAGGAGGACAGGCAAGACGAGTAGTTAATCAATTGACAACAGGTAACTTTGGTATGGAAACTCTTCGCTGACTGTTGAGGAGGGAGACAGAGCTAATATGGGCTTGTCCCAAATGCTGTGATGTCAAATCTTTACCCAGATGAATCCTAGGGGAGAGGCAATTGTGCTTGCCAGCCAAATGGATGGGTTTGTCTTCGTATCCCATCCCCATCCACCCATCTTTTTTTTTTCCTTGGAGCACGTATAACTGGTTCCCAGGCGAGCCAGTCTAACGGCAAATGTAGATACTATCGATGTAATGAGTGATAATTACGATACACAATAAAAGTTATAAAAAAACACTTGTTCTTTGTCACAGTTTACGAGGGGTGTATTGGCTAGACGCTCACCTGTTGATCCGAAAGTCATGGGTTCGAATCCTAACCGAACCTGGCGTTAAAAAAAAAAGAACTATGTTCCTAAGTCGACACAGCCTTGAGTGGGTACCAGGTAAGAATATGGGAAGTAAAGGCTGCTGGTGTGATGTTGACCACATCACCTACCGAGTGCCGATTGATCTGTAAAATATATAGGTCTAGCCCTATACGCCATGAAAGCAAGGAAAAGGATCTTACTTAAAAATATATATATATATATACAGTTTACGACAAAATATTATAACTCCAAACTAACATCATACAAGTCAGAACGCGCCAACAGAGAAGCGACAGACCAGCAGAGGCCAAATGTAGCAACAGATGCAACCTCTTGCACATGAAGCAACAGTACACATGACCCTCAACACCTTTAGCACAACAGCCATACATTCTGGCATTTAAGATCGACACCTTCTGCAAATTAGGACTGGTAATGTATGCCGACAACACGCCAACACATTCTTACAGCCTGCCGATCGATTCTGTAAACGATATTTCGGTTTCAAGAACACCGGGCGAGTAGCGTGTGGATGGATTTGTGAATATGTTTATTTTGGGCTTAACTGGGCCAGTGTCACTGGCCTGTCTCCAGGGAAAAGTGGGCTAATATATTCATTCTGGGGAGCTGCTTTACATCTAGAACTGCAAGAAGCCAGAATTTGTTTTGTTTGTTTCGTTTTCCCTCTCTGCCTCTGCTATATTACGATATAGAGAAAAGTGATAAATGGATTAATAGATCTGTACAGTCCATGTTCAAGTCCCAGCGGGGCCAGCATTTTGTTTTGAAAACTCACCTTGGTTTGATCGACCCAGCCTTGAATGGGTACCAGGTGAAGTCCTGGGAAGTAAAGGTGGAAAGCGTGATGCTGACCACATCACCAACCAAGTGCCGATTGCTCTATAAAATATATGCCCAATACGTCTGAAGGTGTTTAAAAGAGTCTTTCACAGCCAGTGGCAACAGCACTAGCTTTGTGGCCCTAAAATCTTGCCCCCCCCCCTCTTTTTATTTTATTTACAAAGGCCCCCAGCCAACTCGCGCCAAGTCATTCTATCCTTCGCCTTTAGACGGAGCTCTCCCCATGTCCTTCCCATCTTTCTAACATCATTCTCCAACTCTCTTCTCCATGTTTTTTTTCCCTTTCTTTATTCCTGAGCACCTGTGGATTCCAATGCAAACGCTGTTATTCACCGTCCTTTTCAGGATGAAATTTTCCTTATTTGAAGCCCTACTCTGGCTTCTGCCAGGGGCCGCAATATAGGCAGGCCATAAATATGGCCAAATGTCTGAACGCGGTTTCTGGGACCTCTCCACGGCGATCCTCACCCACATGGTGGCACTTTGTGTCATCGGGTGTTTATCGCTTGTGTGATGTCCTGGTGGGGTAGAAAGTCAGTCAGTCAGCTGGGCCAGCATTTTGTTTCGAAAACTCACCCTGGTTTGATCGACCCAGCTTTGAGTGGGTACCAGGTGAAGTCCTGGGAGATAAAGGTGGATAGCGTGATGCTGACTACCACATCACCCACCAAGTGCCGATTGCTCTATAAAATATATGCTTAATACGTCTGAAGGTGTTTAAAAGAGTCTTTCACAGCCAGTGGCAACAGCACTAGCTTTGCGGCCCTAAAATCTCCCCCCCCCCCCCCCCTTCCTTTTTTTTTTAACTCCGCCCTATAAAACAGTAACAATAAAAAGTGGCGATAGTGACTAACTAAAGGTTGCCGAAAAAAATCGGATGGGTTAGGCAAAAGGTGCAGATATCACAGCTTAGCTGTAAATCACAGCACAATGTATTAACTACAACTTTAACGACGAAAGCGAAGTATAAATAAAATGTGATCAGGTTGCTTGAGTAGACGTTGACAGCCTCATATATTTAGGCGGTTCGGCACATGTTATTAGGTTCAGTCACAGTATTGAGTTTGCTCCTGTCAAAAGTGCACAGTATTTTTTTGGACAGGTTTGCATTGAAGCCAAGGTCTTCTTCTTCTGCCTTTCTATCCCCCATGGATCAAAGGCCCTCAACCAACTCACGCCAAGTCGTTCTATCCTTCGCCATTATATGGAGCTCTCCCCATGTCCTCCCAATCTTTCTAACTTCATTCTCCAGCTCTCTTCTCCATGTGTCTTTTTTTGGCTTTCCTTTATCCATATGCCCCTGTGAATTCCAATGCAAAGACATTCTAGTTATGCTGTTCTCCTGTTTTCTCAGTGTGTCCTATCCAACGCCAGCGTCTTTTCTTCACCTCTGGGTCCACTGCAGCCTGTTTAGCTCTCTCCCAAAGCTCTACATTAGTTATCCTATCATACCATTTAACTCCCTCTTTGACCCGTTACCGTTGTGGAGGTGAATCAAGGAAAGCGCTAGCAACTAAAACCTGCCATCTTTCTTCGTCTTCTGCATGTTTAACAAGTGTCTAGTAAATGTAGTAATTTAGTCCTGTCGATTTCTTGATGTTGTCATTCCAGTACTTCTTGCCCCCCCCCCCCCCCACCCCACAATACCTTAATGTATATTCAGTCTTGGAATCGAAGCATGTCTCACTACGTGCCCAAAACCAAGCCAGCTCACGGTGTTTCACCACAGCCAAAAGAGGTTTCTGTGTCCTGTCAATTTATTGAATGTGCCTCTTACATTTTTGTTGATTTTGTGTTCTAAAAAGCTAATTTGTAAAGTTTGTCTGTAACATTTAATTTGTCTGTAGCATCCAATTTGTCTGTAGCATTTTTGTTCAAAAGCATGCATCCTCCTTTCTATTTCAGCAGCAAGAGTTCAACTCTCACATCCGTATAAGAAGAAATACAATACCAGTGATTTGTATATACTGACCTTTAATGCAGTACTAATTTTACTCTTCCTCATAGTATTTAACTAGAAC